CCCTGAACTCAAAACCCCAAACCCTCTGATTTCCCCTGGCGCAGCTTCCTCCGGCCAGGGCTGCGACAAGGCCGTGGAGCCGCCGAAGCGCCGAACCGAATCCACCTCGAAAGGATCAGAGCCTCCGGGGTTGCCTTTAAAGGGGCCCTTTAAGGGTCAATTTTAATTGAATATTTGTTTTAATTAAACAAAAAAGCGGGCACTTTAAGGGTTAGTGTACGGGTTCTATAGCAGGGTTTTCGGATTCGGGTTTGGGGCTTCGGATTTAGGTTTTAGGGTTTGGGGCTTCGTGTAGACAGGTGTCTAGTATAGGGATGTGGGGCTGAGAGTTGAGGAGAAGGCGTCAGCCTTCGATATGAATGGTCTGAGGGGTTTAGGATTTCGGATTTCAGGTTTGGTGCTTGGCGTTTTGGGCTCAGGATTTACGCTTTAAGAGAATCCACTGTTGAGGCCGTGGGGACGGCGGCAGAAATGGTGCCTGGGGCTTCAGTGAGTATCCGGGGCTGAACCATATAGGGTTTGAAGGCCTTTGGCGTGGAGTTTGAAGGTTCTGGATGGCGGGCTTGGGGTTTGCGGTGCTCATGCTGTTCGGACGCCAAGGTGGTGCTGCAAGTCACTTGGTTTGCAGGCTGCACAGGCTGAGACACCGGTGGGAGCGCAAGGCAGGGAACCAGATGGCAGAGAAAAGAACGACCGAAAGAACGAGAGAAGACAGGCTGAAAGAAAGAACCAACGACTGAGCGAAAGAGAGAGAGAGAGAGAGAGAGCGAGAGAGAGAGATGAATAAAAAGAGATAGAGAGGTGCGAATGAAAGTCAGACAGACATGTGCGCAGACCAGTTTCACGTGACACACTAGGCTCTTTCAGCTCAGCATGTAAGACAAGGAAGGTCTCGCTACTAATGTCGCGCTCATAATCAATATCACCATCCTGGTCGTCACAGTGCTTGCCCACACCGTGGTCATGGTGTTGCTGGTGATGACGATGGTCATGGTGAAGACGAGGATCATGATGATCACCATCATCATCGTCATCAACAACAACATCATCATCATGGTCATGATGATGATTATGATCATCATCACCATCATACACAGCATCGCCATCGCCATCGAGAGTATCGCAGCTGAACTGTGCAGCATATGATCAGAACAGCAGGTGAACTAAAGCTTCATTAGCCAGATAGCGCAAATCCACCACGCCCGCTCTTACAACACCAAGTGCTGTGGAATCAGTCGCGAGAAGAGGAGTGACTGGGCCCTCCACCGTTGTAGGGTTTGCCTCAGATTTGGGCTTAACAATTGCGGTGAGCAGGATCCTTCCTTGGGGTTCCCTTAAAGAAGCTACATCCTCCATGTAACATGATGCAAACAGAGGCGGCTCACCAGCAAGAGTGCGAGAGAGTAGGCACCAGTAAAAGCAGATGCAGCTTCGCTGTACAATTCCATGACGTCCAGAAAACCGTGATGATTGGTCATCCCTGTCCATGCTTTCGTTTGATATTCTCGTGACACGCTTTGAAAAACGTAACTTCGGCAAGCGGCATTGGCTGGCTCCAGAATTTGGATTCCCCCTGGCATGCAGCTCGCAATAGTAAAGCTCCCGGTGCTCAAGGGCTAAGCAGCAATCCGGCTTCACCCGCTGCGATGTAAAGGCCCCCCAAAAAAACTCCGACATCTCCAGAGCCGGAGTTGCTCTGGGATAGAAGTTTAGAGTACCTTAGCCCAAAAAAGGTTGACCTTTAGAGTTATGATAGGTTTATATAAGCCCCAAAAGGTTAAAGGTTACATAGACTCAGCCCCTAAGGAAGGCTCCTAAGAGGGAAGCCCCTGGGCCTTGAGGGTGAATCCCCCACACTGCTTCCTTTACTTTCTCTGCAGTCGCAGGCTCTTCCTCCAAGCTGCTTTCACCGTCCAAATTCAGGGGCCTTAATAGTTAAAATAGGGTTTTGGGGGGATAGTATACAATGATGATAATAAAGAACGCAAAAAAGGTGTTGGTAATTATTTCGGCCCCTATATTCAACCAAGACGGCGGAAGCGACCATCACCAACCACGTCTGCCAAATGCTTGCGAAAACTACGAACTGTCACCGCAACTCCCGCTTTCCCTAAGAGCATGCTCAGCCGCCCGACAAAGATCCAACAAATTTCAAGAGCAGCCCGGCCCTAAATCACAATCTAAGCTTTGCGCCCTAAACCCTAAAAACCCCTAAACCCTAAACCCTAAACCCTAAACCCCTAAACCCCTGAACCCTAAGCCCTAAACCCCCAAACCCCAAGCCCTAAACCCCTAAACCCGCATTCTCCGACAGCCCCTGAATCTAACAGTCCACACCCCGCCTGCAAGCCCCACATCGCCCTCGTTGAACTCCAGGGGCCGATCCTGGTGCGGCAATGGGCTTTTTGGGGTTTAGGGGCTCAGGGGTTTAGGGGTTTAGGGCTCCGGGGTTTAGGGGTTCAGGGGTTTAGGGGTTTAGGCTTCAGGGGTTTAGGGTTCAGGGGTTTGGGGATTTAGGGGTTTAGGGTTTAGGGGTTTGCGACTTAGGGTGGTAATTCGCGAAAGTTCAGGAGAGAAGTGGGAGTTTGAGAAAACTCGGGTACTTGTACCTGGTTTGGGGATGCTGAGAATACTGATCCCATGATTTAGGGATCCATTGTCGGGTCACCCCTTCTCTTTGACATTCCCAGTGCTCGGGGTCTCGGAGGTGGGGTTCATCTGTCGGCAAGCATACAGACCCTGAATCGTACTTGGAGGTTCGCGGGTAGTTATGCGTGGAGTTTATGAGTAGGGTAACTATCATTATAACTCATATTAGTGGACTGATAACCCCACTTGTAACTACCCATGAACCTCCAAGTAGGGCTGTTTATTCCTTGAGGGCCAAGCTCTCTAAACCCGCTTAAACCCTAAAGCGCAGCAAAGCTAAGAAAGGTCGAAAAAGGACATTACAAGCAACCCAGCAGCCAAGCGGAGACTCCGCAGAAAGCGCTTCCAACCTCAGGGAGCATGGCTTTGGATCTCTGATGTAGGCCGTTGGTGGTTAATAAAGCCTCTCTGCAAGGGATCCGAATATGCAGGCCTGTAAAGAAAGGGGCTTATTACTCAACAAGGGTCTGCAGTACTTACTGCCTAAAGGACCCCTCTCTCAGAGTACATGTTTGTCTCCATAGAAACAAAAATTAAGTACCAGAGTCCTATGGCAAGCGGTAGGGTCATCACCCTTCAGGTACCCTGCCATGAGACTATTGTTGTAGCGGTTCCTGTTTGGCAGTTTCTGAGATCTGTGACATCAGGGTGTCATCCCCAATTAGGCCAGGTCTATCGATTCATCTATGGCTGCATCCATCTCTAGATCGAAAAATATATAATACATACATACATACATAGATATACAGGTATGTATGTATGTATATAGATAGATAGATAGATAGATAGATAGATAGTGCCTCTAGTATGAGTGTCACCCGAAAACAAGCCCCACTTCATGTGCTCAGACCCTCTGGGGTCTATCCACGGGCTTCAAGTTTGGGCGTCCAGACTCCAGTGTCACAACTCTTTCTGATAGCCAATGCTCCGGTGGGCCAACTGAAGGAGCCCGCTGACTCTCTGAAGGAGAGGGCACCCGAGGAAAGAGCACCTATGATCTACAGGGTTTGTAGCACCAAGGCTCTGCCGGAGCTTACCAGAACAGAGAGCCAAATTTGGAATAACCCCCAAGCATCCATGCTGGGGCCGGTGCTGCTAAGGCGTACTCCGTCAAGGGTCGTCCTCAACAGTCGACGAAAGGCTGCACAAAAGGGGCGCACCGCCCTCGAGGATTTCTACATTCTACATGAGAGCCCAACCCTTTCCCAGCAGAAACACGCATCATGGACTATTATAGGGGCCTGAACAATCAGAACAGGGCTTTGATGTACGTAGCAGAATACAGTAATAATGTTACTAAGTATTCCGATCCCTATATTAGCATTTGAGGAGTATGCAAAGAGTTAAGTGCTAGCATCCTGTGAGCTCACCGCTGCCTCAGGGACGGCCAATCCTTCTAAAGCATCGAGTTTCTGTCAGCTGTTCGGCTCTTCAAGGGGTGGGGTCGCCAAATCCTACTACATGGTTCAGTGTATCAGGTGATGCCCTAAGACGGTTATAAGTCGAACTGCCCTTATTCGGGGCTTGGGGGCAGAGACCCCCAACTGAGCCGCTTGCACGATGACCTCGGCTCGGTTCAGACCTTGGCATGGATGGAAGACCGGTTAAGAAGACCTCGTTTATCTGAAACTCCACACACGAAATGCCGAGAAAGACAGAAAAAGAGAGCAAGCTCTGTATCAAGCGAATCGTGTTGCCGATGCGGTGCTGTTCACGCCGAGGCCCTCGCGTGCATAGCCTTGCATGTCGATGTAGACACTGGCATATGCCTGGTTCAGCTGCGCGACAAGAAGGTTCCTCAGTATAGTGCTGGACGTTCTTTTGGTCAGATGGCTACAGCCTACAATCTTCTGTGGCTGTAGACAGTACGCCACAGGGGTCGATTGCAGATATGTTTGCATGCAGCGTTCGCTTGAGCTCACCAGAACACGGCATGACTTCAGCTCGCAGCCAAGGCACAGCAGGAATGCGACGACGATGATGACGAAAAGCACGACCAAGAGAGTGACCCACACTGATTCCTGTGGGTAGTACGAAAATCACTGCGTCAGGCGCTAGCGTTGTCTATGGCAAGTGATTACATACGTTCACTTGCTGAACTATCTGGTTCTTCTAGCCCCGAGAAGCCTGTACGGGAGAAGGCCTACCGGAAAGACAGTGAGAGGAAGAGGATGATGCTGAAGACGACGAAAGGGAGGATGAGAATAGGATGCTGACCATAACGGTGCTGGTGCTGGTAGCCGTGATGGTTAAGGTCGTGATGACAGCAATGAAGATGACGAGAAATGATGGTCACCACGATGCCGATGATGAGCACGAGCGCAACAGCGACGACGACGACGACGACGACGACTGCGATCAAAACCAGTCAGCTGACGATTATGTTGACGATGGAGGAGAGTATTGTGAGTGATATGACGATGAAAGCAATGATGAGGGTGATGGTCATGATGATTATGAAGAGGGAAACACCAAAGATAATGACCACGACGACCTAAGACAACGGCTACGGCATGACAATGGCGGTGAGCGCAATGATGAGCCTGGAGATAACCACGATGGACATCAGTCCTTGTTATTGCAGTAAAAGTACCATCCATACTAATAGCCAACATGATGGTATTGTTTAAACTTGTAAATAACAATGGTAGCAATAATGGTAATGACAACTAACAATAGCCATCATAATGCAAATACTACTACTTTCTGTCCAGCCCCGGACCTTGATCTCCAGGAACTTCTCGCTCGGGAACAGGCCCAGGGAAATGGCCAACAAGGACAAGGACGCGGCATCGATGCCTGCGTTGCACAGGCTCACAGGGAAGGAGTCCTGCAGAGTTTGTATGGGCTGCTGACCACATATAGTAACAGTCTGTATGAGGGCTACGATGAAGGGTCTGATATATGCATACTGCTCTATGCTATACACATGATTCAGCTGTTGCTGAGTGGGGGCAGCATCCAAAGTTGTCTACAAAGCATTACGGTCACCCCGCCGTCCAATTCACTTCTGAAGGGTCCTCATTCGTGACCTTTTACTTTTCGGCGGATCCACGATGCGCTGTTGAGCTGATAACTCAGGAATCCTGGCCAATGGCCACTGAGGCAGCCCATCCATCCTAGACTGGAGCCCCTCCTCCAGCCGGCGTTTCGGGTTTTGTTCTGCGTTCGCTGAACAAACGCTGCTCATGCGGAATGCTCAAGATAACTTGCGGTACCCTCCGACGTGGAAGGCAAGGCGGGCTCGGAATACTAATAACATAATCCTAGTAATGATAGTAACACCAGAAATAGTAGTAATACTAGCAATAATAGTAGTAATAATATGAATAGTAATCGCACCAATAATACCAACTCTGTTGAAATAATGTTGAACAATAATCATCATAACATTTTTTGCGGAGCCCCGAAGCCGAAGCCCAGAAACCTTTGCATGAGTGAACCTCAATTTAAAGGCTTATGGTTTAGGGCTTAGGGTTTAGGGCTTATGGTTCAGGGCTGAGGTTCAAGGTTTAGGGCTTGGGGCTTAGGGTTTAGGGCTTAGGGCTTCGGGTTTGGGGCTTAGGGCTGAGGCGCTTAGGGTTTAGGGCTTAAATAGGGTTTAGGCATCCCGCACTAGACCTGGTCATCGTAACCGTATGTACGAGAAGGAGCATGCATCATTCCCTTTATCGTTTCTCCTGCCTGGCTACTGCTACTTCTCCTACTGCTGCAGCTGCTACGACTGCTACGACTGCTACGACTATGACAAGCAACAACTAGGACGGCGAATTGTAGACTCCACCAGACTAAGCAAGTCACTACATACTCTTGCACTTGGCGCAATACATACAAGTTCACGGCTTATCTTGGTCGTGATTGTCTTCGCCGTCGTCGTGACAGCAATAGCCCTTTAGCGGCAAGACCACGGCAACAACGGTAACACCAGCTATGTTTGAGGGTACTTCTCCCAACCAACCTTTGCCTGCGAAGTCAGGAAGCTGATGGGAGATCGCGCTCACAGATGTCGCAAAGGCCAGTATCAGGAAGGCCAAGGACGTCCTCGGCTTGCAGAACCAAGCACGCTGGAAGTGTCGCAGGGCTGAAGATGCTGGAAGTCCTGTCAACTCCTTCGCGAAACCTGTATAAAGCCGTATAACAGTACGTATAACAGCATGAGACCTTTACCCTGCTCTGGCAGTGCTCTGCCGCTTCGGAGGCTCGGGACAGCAAACCACGGGCTTAGGCTCCAATACGGCTTCAGGGCGGGTCGAGGTTCCTGCAATCCCAAACTTTAGTGGTGTCTACCGCCGCAGGTTGCGTTTGGACTTCGGATTGATGGGGCGGTAGAACTATTCCGGCCGCGAATCAGAAAGAGCAGCAGCTCGCCCAGAACCTGTCCACAGACCAGGACAAAGGCGGATATCTGCATAGAGAAGATCGACAGGTTCATGATCAGGAGCCAGTACAGGAACATGGAGACACCTTGGTGGGCAAGCTTGTGCCAGACGACTTGGGTTCTACAGTAAGCCTTGAGCACATGAAACGAACAAGACTCGGCCAAAGTTGTCGTTGGACATGATCACAGGTCGGATCGAGGCACCCGCAGTGATGCTGTAAATTTCCAAATGTGACACCGCTTCAGGGCAGGCGGAAGTGAACAAGCCAGACCTTAGGAGATGGAAGCATGCGGACAGGTGAGCCGGGGCAAAGAACTGGTGTTGCCTGTTTGGGGGGAATGGGGTGGACACCGTAGTACAATCATATACAGACTACAAGTGGGCATTGTATCGGCTAGTTATTTAGACCTTTGTAGTCAAGAACCAGCTTTACTTGGATGAAGGCTGTCTGGGATATCCCTTGCCCTGATGAAATGTCATAGTACGCTCTATGGAACCCTAGCACATGGTACCTTAAACCCTAGAACCTAGCATACGCTGCAGAGAAGGCACGTTGGACACAGAGAGCCACAAAGACTGCTCCGAAGTTTGGGTTTGCTTGGAGGCTCATGGGCAGTTATAAGTGGGGTTAAGTAGGCCCCATATACCGGTTCTAATTAAAGCCACCTCTGCTTATAGCCCTAACTACCCGTGAACCTCCAAGTAAGCGGCTTGAGGTGTTGTCCTTGGCTTCAGTTTGGGGAGTTAGGCTTCGAGCAAGGTCAGACCGTGGCCCTTGAGCCCAGAATCTGTGAATCCAATGCTGGTGAATCTGTTTAGGGTTGAGGGTTGTGTGTCTTACCCTACACCCTAAGCTCCAAACCCTATAAGCCCTTACAGTTGCGAACCCTTGGACTCTGGTGCTATGACGACTACTGTTCGTGTTACCTGAACTGGTGCTGACCACTTACTTACTTTTCCTGGTGGTCGTAGTTGCCACTGTGACGATGTTGCTGATGTCACGACTCCTGTATTTTACCCTCAAGGTTGGTCACCATGTTTACTTGCTGGCATCAGTAGCTTGATGCTGCTTCTGCGATGCAGCTATTGGCATCGCTGCAGTCAGACTCGGACTGGGTCTGTTGCATGGTCGTGTCTCAGAGCCCGACCCCACACCTTACTCCGTACGCTACCCCCTCATGCAACCAAAAAAGGTATCCAAGAGGCCCAGGGAAATCGCCGTCCATGTTGCCCATGCACCAGAAGATAGGCTCTTGCGTGCACATGATAATCCTGAGCTTGAGGTGTAGGGTATCCGAATTACTATCTGTTCTTTCTGGCTATATATTACTGTTGGCCAAGTTCCTTCCGTCGCGGTTTTTTGCAGTCGGCTGACTCGTCAAACTGACATCGTCGTGGGGAAGATACTGCTAATAATATACGACGCACAAGTACGATACTGGAAAGCAGCAGCACTATCAGCAGCAATGGTGGGAGTTGACTCTGGGTGGTAGCAGTGCCCGTAGCGGTAGTGGGGAGTAGAAGTAGTAGTAGTAGTAGTAGTAGTAGTAGTAGTAGTAATCGCCGTCGTCGTCGTAGTAGTAGCAGGAGTAGTAGTAGTTGTTGTTGTTGTGGTAGTTGTGGTAGATGTAGTAGTAGTTGTAGTTATAGACTTATAGAGGTAGTAGTAGCAGTAGTTGTTGAAGTTGTAGTTGTAGTTGTAGTTGTAGTAGTAGCAGTAGAAGTCCTCGTCGTCGTCGAGTAGCAGTAGTCGTCGTAGCAGTAGTTAGTGGTAGTGATAGTGGTAGCGGTATTTAGCTGCTTAGGTTTGGCGATGCTCCCCCGCATGGCTGTAGTATGATAGAATGTTGGCATGGCCACAGGTCTTTGCCGCAAGTTGATATGAGCAGAAGCCCCAGCTGACGAACAACCCACATCCCGCCAACTACACGCAAATGAACAGTTGCTCGAGGTTCAATGTCGTGAGCAGGCCAATGTAGCCGACATCCTGTGCACCTGAAGACGAAGCGAGACAAGGTGACAAGGAAGCATTCTTTGCTGCGCTTAATAACTGTCATGAATACCGCTGCTATGTTCCCTCTTCCTCCTACTACTGCTACTACTGCTGATGCTGCT